TTTTTTGTTTGTTTTTAACAATTAGAGACTTAAGCAATGTACCCCTATCTCATTTTTCTTCCATACATTCCATGGACAAAAAGTAATATAATGGTAGCCATATTTAATTCATGAGTGAGAGGATGGCATTTAGATACTGTTTGCCCAATTTAAGAAAACCTAAATAAGTAGGAAAAATACTATCAAGCCTCAAGAGAAAGTGCACACAGTAAAGGGTGGTGGAGTGGGGCATCAGAATAGCCTCTTTAATCAACGTAACCTGGATTGATTTGTTCATTCAGAGCAAAAATTTAATTTGACTCATTGCACAGAAACATCATATTTAGCTACATTAACTTTTAAAACTGTATTTAGAGCTTGCTCTCACTTTGATATTATTAAAAATCATGCTTCTATTTAAAAAAATTTGCTGATTACAAAAGCATGTGGCACAATGAGTTCATTTAGACTCAATGGGATTTTGCTCAGTAATCTTTTGGGAAAGACAAAGTTTAAACCTAGAAACACATACACACACACACACACACACACACACACACACACACACACCCCTCTTTAGTAAATATCTGCATATTTTACTGTATTGTTCAATTTTAATTGACAGCCTGTGATTATTTTGAAAATATGCAAAAATAAAGATGATTGGTGCAACTCTTTTAGAATGAAGCCAATCCATGCTTGGAAAGTCAAAAGTCTACCAGATAAATAGGATCAACTCACAAGTTAGAGGTCTGAGTGTCCTTGCAAAGAAGGGAGACATTTATTAGGACTTTGTATTTGGAATGAGTGACAGCTTGCAACCTCTCTACTACTTCAAGTCTTTTAAAACATTGAAGAAAAGGACAGAAATATGAAAATGAGAGAATGTCTTTCAGGCTACTTTGAGACTAAGTTAGCATAACAGAAGAACTCCAGAGAAAAGATGGGGATCTTCCTTAAAAAAAACCCTATCTTTTTTTAGGATTGGAGTAAGTAGACTGAATGAAAAATAGACTCACTAGAAAAATGGTTTTCAACTTAGAATTTAATGTTTAAAATATGATATAATGTCAGAACTAAGAAGAACCTTAGAGATCTAATAGATCATGATTCTCAAATTTTGGTTGCTTATCAAAATGTATATTCTCAAGTCCCATCCCTAGAAATCTATTGATTCAATACGAATTTATCAATGCCCACTACCTTCTAGGCCCTGGGGATATAGCAGTAACAAAGCCAAAATTATTGTCCTCTTTTAATAATACAGTTGTCCACAAATCATACTGATTCTTTTTCCATGATTTTTTCATCAGAATTATGCTTATTTTGCTATTAGTTTTTTATTGTACCTATTACTTTGGCATTCAAATAGAGTGTATAACATGGAATAAAACAGAAGTTTTTTTTTTCAGAATGGACAAAGCAAAACAGATCAAGCTGTTCCCTTTGCAGTCAAGATAACTGGGTTACTTCCAGCTGCAGTGTCGCTTTGGGAAAATTAATTAATCTGTCAAAGCCTCAATGTCATCATTTATAAATCAGGAATTAAAAAGAGTACCTACAATTTTTGGACTGATATAAGGACTAAATCCTTATACTATCTGTAGTGACTGGTACATGGTAAGTACTCTATATCAATTAAATATTTAATATATCAATTTTTATTATATATCAATAACTATGATTATACAGCTTTCTCTATAAAGCCTCAAAAAGTGGTTTAAACTGAGTAAAGTAGAGTCATGGAACTTCAGAGTTGGAAGTTCATAGGTCATTTTTGTGTTGTTATGGTGTTTAAACTGCTCTGGGGAGCTCAGATTCAAACTGCTAGAGAGAGACTCCTTCATTGCTTTGAGCTGTTTTGCCTAATAAAATTAATTTTATTAGGAAAAAAATCCTGTTGTCAAGAAAAGCCTGAAAACCACTGTCAATCTTAGCTCCTCATTCTGAAGATGAGAAGTTGAAAAAGGCAGTGACTTGCCCAATGTCACACAACGGGAGTTAGTGGTAGGGCTAATGTAGCCATCTGCTCCCTCGAAAAGATTTAGGAGTGGAAACAGACATGGTTATGGCTCAAACACTTTGCAGATTGAGACTGAATAAAAATATATAAAACAAACAAAAAATTCTGTTGTTTGAGGGATCCCTATCTATTCACTCAAAACCATCTCAGTTGTGGACATTCTTTCTTTACAGGTGAAATACCATATCAAATACCATACGGTGAATCTTCATTTTGGCTGTCAGTGTAGAGAAGAACAGAGATTTAAAAATAATTAAAAATTTAAGCTTAGTTATTCTAAATTCCAATTATAATAAAATTCAGACTAATTCTTAATAAGAATTTATTTTTATAAACTTCATGAAAATAGGGAACTTATTTGAAAAGAAAAACATACTTTCCATGTTGCCAAAATAAAGCAGTATCATTCATGCTTTCCCTCTTGCTGAAACAGAACCTTGTTGATCATTATATTCAGAAAATGGTGTTCTGGTCAACTAGAACCCTTTCTTTTTATTTTAATCCCTGGTACTGAAAACTGTCCTCCTGTGCACAAGTCCATTTTGTGCTGACTTGGGAACTGATAGTGAGTGTGACTTAATATGTCGTTGATAACTGAGACTCTTCCATTGTCTAGGATCATTTTTCAGAACATGAATTCTTCTTCTACAGTACTATGGATATAGATGTTAACGGGAGATTATAACCTTTAAGATTAAAAAACAAAACACCAAAATCTAAATCCCTGATTCACACTTATTATGTTATTATAATATTTGATTTCTTTTCTAAAAGGTGAAGGGATACATTCCCTATTGAGGTTCTGGTTATTCAAAGTCTAATCATTTTGAAATCACTGACTCCCATTCTGTTTCATAAAGACCAATTAAGGGATCATAGGATTTCTTCATAGTTTCAAATTTAGTTCCTGGAAACATTTGGATAATGTTAGAGATTATTGTAATCTATGTTTTTAATTACATTTTTACAATATCAACAAAATTATTCTTTGGGGAAAAAAAAACTTGTGTTTAATTAATGATTCATTCTAGAGCTATATAAAATAAAACAAAATAAAATAGAAAGAGAAAGACATGAGAACCAGTTATATTTACACATTTTTAATATGCTTCATGTTAATATTCATTATGTTTTTTTCATGAACTGATTACTTAAAACACATCTTTATATTCATATGCTGGATAGTTCTCAATTATCTTCTGTTTACTCTCCACCGGTTTTAGTGTTCTAAATTTCCCCATGTTTCATGGAATTTTAAATTTTGCATTTTCTACTTTGGTTTCAAAACCAAATTGAATATCTTCACATAAAATGAGTTTATTAATTTGTTCAAAAAAACTTCAACACTAGACTGCTTTGGGGAGCCAACTGAGAGTTTGTTTGAATGGTAAAAATCCTGCCAAGGTAAAACAGGTCATTTTGAACATTCTTTTGGTAGCAAGAACTGATTGAGGAGTACAAATATTAATTTAAAAAGTTCCACTATAAACAATTGCCAGTCACAATCTCATTTTAAAGGTAAGAGTTAAAAAATTTGATTTGATTCTAAAATTTAAAGGGGCTAAAGATTCTTTGTCAAATTTGAGTGTATATAAAATGAAATTTAGCAACTAATGATAAATATAACAACTGAATAATTATAGTTATTTACTATTATAACCTATAATAGAAATTGGTTTATGTTTAAAGTAAGTTCTATGACTTAAAGGAAGACTAATGTTTGCAGCTTTTAATGGGGAAAGGTTTTACAGTTAAGACTCCTGAAGAAGTTCTCTCTGAATGCTCAGATTGTGGGGCCAGACTGAGTGATTACAGTTTTTATTACATCTTGCAACAATGAAACGACATAAATTTTTGATAACTCTCCTCTTGATTCTCCAAGAAAGGCAAAGATGTACAGTTTTATACAATGAATCTTAGTCATCCAAAAGGAAATTTATTACACAACAATGTGAATAGAATTTCATTTATAAAGCTTATCTTTTCTTTCCCAAGTGATATAAATGATGATTAAAATTCTCCTTCTGTATCTAAACAGGGGATGAAATTTTTTTTCTCTAAGATTCTTAGTCTCAGTGTTTTGATCCCTGTGGGTGAAGAGGAAGACACAAGGTATCATTCCCCCATGCAAGATGAGAGAGACCATGTGCTCAGAGCAATTGTGCAAAAGTTGTCAACCAGTTCAATTGTGGAAAGTCTTGAAATCTCAAAATCTCAATTTTGGCTTTAGTCTGACTGACCATTCAGTGATCTCCACATTTGCTAAATTGTAGGGAGAGGGGGAAGTAGTTACTACTTCAACATCTTCTTTATTCTTGATTATAATTTAATATACTTAAACTTTAAATATGAATTGCTTTCCCTTTTTACACAAGTT